CCTTTTGGATTTCCTTTTGCTTTTATTCTGTTGTTTTAAAATAAGATTTAGGGAGAGGAGAAGGATGGACTTGAGTTTTATGTATTAGTCTCTGCTTTTCTGAATTGTGCACCAAACCCAACCACTTCATATGAATTCCAAGAACAAGTTTAAGGTCTGGAAAGAAGAGTTGGGGAGTGAGGATAATCAAATCTGTTGAGATAGAAGATTAGAACACAAAGTTGGGATGGGAATTTTAGCCTGAGACTTTAGAATTGGGAGGAGCAACGTGAAAAGGCATCTCTTGAATCATACATTCCAGTCAATTTTCACATGCTCAGAAGATGACTTCCTGCATATCCTGCCCCTTTCAGAGCTCAAGATATCTGAAATGCACACTCCAAGGTGCCCAGAAGAAGGGCCTATAACAGGCCGTGTCTAAATAGCTGGAAGAGGATAAAAATACGCTAGTTATTTCTCCTTTCTTGCTTTTCAGTACGTTTGTTCACTTCCCCCAGTGTTGGATTGTTCAGTAGAGGACTAGATCTTTCTAGTCCTGCTGATCATTTTTCCCCCAGGACCCATAAGGGGGAAATAAATCACTATCCATGTGAACTTTTCATGCAGATTTCATAAAAGGAATTGAATGTGGGAGCTGGGGAGAGAAACATAAGATGCAGTTAAAGGCTCAGTTTTTGCAGCTGTGGATTCAGTCCCTCCGTTGTAGCCATGCAAATGTTTGCATAGTCCCCTTTATGTTTGTATGTTGTTGTTAATAATAGCTTACACACATGACGAAGACGCTCACAGTGACAAGAGCTGAGCTGTTCCTTCTGCCATTCTGCAGTGGAAAAAAAACAAAACCCAGCCATGTTGATGACCTGCCCACATAGTAGCTTTGTGTAAGAGCCATTTGGGTCAATACACAGATGTTCAGGGGAATGGTCAGAACAACAGACGCGGATCAGAATCCATTTGATGGCAGGAAAATCTTGAGCTTGTAGGAAGCTCAGTATGTGGCTTATTTCCCTGAATTAGTAAAAAGTGGACATGATAGCCAGGGAATTAAAACTAAAGTGTCACAGCAGATTCATATCTTCCAATGCAAATCACTTTGCTTGTAGCCTGATTTAAGCTAGGGAAAACAGAGGCAAAAGATGGGCGTCAAAGCTGTGGATAAAAGACTGCTCACTGCTGTTCCTTGGCAATAAATCATCCTCCAACCTTTTGATGGCAACTTACGTTGGAAGACAGCTATCTGCTTGTGTCAGATTTCATTGTCTCTTTCATCCAGACTAAGGCAAGAAAAAATATATCAAAGAGCTGGGTACCTTCATAGCATAAGAAGATGGCAGATATGAGGGAGAACACTAGAAGGATAAGGATGGCAGTCCTGTGTTTTGTTCCTATTAATGATGCAAAATGGCTTCCAGCATTGAGGGAAGCAGTGAAAAATGGGTTCTTCGTTGGCTTTGTATCCGCTTCCTTATGAAGCTGTGGCAAAGTCAGTGACAGAAGCCGTGTGAATACTCATAAATCTTTCAGGAAATCTAGCCGTTTTTATTTTTGTCTTTTGCCTTTTAAACAAGGAGTCTGCAATTTTGCTCTGCGCTCTAAGAAATTGTTTTCACAGAGCAGAATCAACAGATTGTTAAACACATTGATTAAACTGAAATAACCTTGTGACTGAATTGTGCTGCAATTAATGCATTAGTTTCTTTTAATGTACCGCAGGGACCTTGCTATTTGTAACAGTACAGTGCCAAATAGATAATGGCAGAGAATTTAAAATGCAGATCTGCCTGAGGTATATATACGTTAGAGTTCGGGAGAGACTTCAAAGTCCAAAGCGACAGCCAAGTGAAAAAAAAAAAAGGTTAATCTTTTGCCCCACTAATGTGGGCTTAACTAATTTGAATTTTCATATGGATGTGAAAACTGTGATGCGTTAACCCTTTATATCTCCTGAATGTTAGTTTGTACAAAGATGTGTACATTAAAAATGTACATAAAATGCCTATACATGGAACATTTTAAACTAATCTACTTAATCTTTGGGAAAAAGGGCAAGCTTTTTCTGTAGTGGTTCCATCTCTATGGAACATCCTCCCTTCAGAGATCAAAATGGCATGAACTCTGTAGCCTTTGTAAGGCCCTAAAAACTTGGCTGTGTTTCTGAGCCTGGGGCACTGAATGTGCCAATAACCCAGTTTCCTGGCTTTATTGCGTCTGTATTTCCTGACCAAATATCCTGCTCTTCTATGTCCTGAATGGAATGTTTTGAATGTTACTTACTGGTTTTGCAGTTTTTATTGTTTTAAAATGCTTTTCGATGTTTAAGCGTAATATATTTTCTGAATTGTAAGCCGCCCAGAATCATAGACTGAGATGGGCGACCATAGAAATTGAGTGAACGAACGAACAAATAAATAAAATGCATTCAGAAATGTATATATCAGCATGCAAAGGTGGGTGGAAAAACACACAGATGTGTCCCTTCTCTTAAAATGGATTGCCAGTATCCTACTTTTATATAGAGGTTGACAAGAGTTGCTTTTAAAAAAATCGTGTTTGCCCCAGCACACCTCATTCTGATAGATGCCACCTTTTTATTCTGTTTGTTAAATAGGGTTCAGGAAGATAATTCAGTTAAATGTGAAATAAAATATAAAACATGGCTCTGCCTCTGAGGCAATGTTTGGGCCCTCGTTTCTGTCTTTAAAAAGATAGTTTGATCAGAAGGTCAGCAGTTCAGTGGTTCAATATCAGTTCTGTTTAATATTAAGGCCAAGGTAAAGGGACCCCTGCACATGGGTGTTAGTCCTTTCCGGCTCCAGGGGGCGATGTGCTCTTCTCCGTTTCAAAGCCGAAGAGTCAGCGTTGTCTGAAGAAGTCTCTGTGGTCATGTGGCCGGCATGACTAAACACCAAAGGTGCACGGAGCGCTGTAAGCTTCCCACCAAAGGTGGTTCCTATTTTTCTATTTGCATTTTTACATGTTTTCGAACTGCTAGTTTGGCAGAAGCTGGGACAAGTAACGGGAACTCATTCCATTATGCAGCGCTAGGGATTTGAACCACTGAACTGCCAACCTTCTGATCGACAAGCTCAGCGTCTTAGCCACTGAGTCACTGCATCCCTATTAAGGCAAAATAGGAGCTCAAAGTTAAACACAGAAAGATGCTGACATCCCACCTGTCTGAAGCCCCTTTGATGCAGCTGTGTCTTTTCTTGGGATTGCAGCATAGTGTCAAGAAAAAGCATGTTTACTTTCCGGAATTACAAAGCGCCCCCTGCGTGTACCCCTCTTTGCTCTTAGAAGCATTTTTAAGCAATACATAGCCCTCTTAGAAAGCCTGTGGCATTGCCTTGTAGCATCTGTTGTGGTACAGTCAGGATAGTTGCTTTGAGTAATACGTGTACAGGTAGTCCTTAACTTAGAACCACTCATTTAGTGACTGTTCAAAGTTACAACTGCATTGAAAAAAGTGACGTGATTGTTTTTCAGACTTAAAACCATTGCAGCATGCCCATAATCATATGATCTTCTGATCACATTTGATCTTGGGCACTAGGCAGCTGGCATGCATTTATGACAGTAGTAGCACTGTCCTGGGTTATGTGATTGCCATTTGTAATCTTTCCGACAAGCAAAGTCAATTGGGAAAGCTGGATTCACTAAACCACTGCAGTGATTCACTTAACAACTGGCAAAAAAGGTTGTGAAATGGGACAAAAGACACTTAACAACTGCATTGCTTAGCAATGGAAATTTTGGGCTTAATTGTGGTAATGTTGAGGACTAACATTTCTATGGGGAACTACTTCTGGGGAGTTTCTGGGGTTATTTCTCCCTATTCCAATTTGTTCTTGCAGCAACTTTTAAAAGGTAAGCCAGCCTGAGAATGGCTGACCCAACATTACCCAGAGGGTATATCCTGAACTAGAATATCCTCGTACCTCATTCAACACTGATGCAAAGATACTATTACAGTATCCTCGACTGGCTAATTTAAAAGCTCACTTTTGGACTTTGGACTTTCAAAAACATACAATAGGAATAAAACTGGATAAAATGTATCCAGTTATAAAATATATTGAAGTCTCATTAAATAGATTTTTTAAAGTAGACTGGATAAAAAAAACCCGACATTTGTACAAATATCCCTTTTTTTTTCAAATTGTAGGGAATATGATCATTAATTAAGCAATCTTATATATTTAAAGAATATTTCACCCAGTATTATTTTTTTTCCAGAAAATGGCATAATATATAGAGAAACCAAAATTATAAAATATATTTTTTTTCTTTTTTGACAAAATAGACTTATTTTGCCCATGGCATGGGGCTAAAGTTTAGTCAAAATCCATCGTAGCTGATCAAGGGTTCATTGTATTGGATATACTACAAATTTCCCCCCCATTTCTATTTCTAACCTTCCCATCTCACATCCCACAATTTAAATCTAAAATAATTGTTTTCTTTTAAATTAGGGGTCCTTTTATGAGTTTTAGAAGACATACTGGAAAAAAGGTGTACTATATGAAAAAGATTAGAAGTTCAAAATTTATGAGAGCGAAATAACCTGTATTAAAGACATTGTCTGGATGTTGAAGAGAATCTGAATTTAAAGTGGAAAATAAAAATATAGGACTAACTCTAAATATTTTTATTGTGCAATCTGGCTCTGAAATCAATAGGGTACAACAATGGAATGTATAATAAGAAATCAAAAGAAATGGTACAGCTTCAGAGCTTTCCCTATAACTTCCTGCATAATTTTTCAGGACTTCATAAGAAGCAATGAAACACTTAACATGCATTTTAAATACAAGCATAATTAAATGCCTGGATTTCTGGCAGGTTCGACCAAATAGCAGATTATGTAGCTTTCAGTTTGTCTTTTTCTCTTTCCCTAGTGTTGTTTTGAGCTGTTGCAAGATGACAATAATTTTCCTTTGTTTTGAGTTGTTGCTGGAACATCTCTAGCAATGCCTGTATTTGCATCTGTCTTTTTCCAGAACAAAGTCGCCGTGACGATTTGGAGAGCTTGGGCTACGTACTGATGTACTTCAATCTTGGCTCATTGCCTTGGCAAGGCCTAAAAGCTGCCACAAAGCGACAGAAATACGAGCGCATCAGTGAAAAGAAGATGTCGACACCCATCGAAGTACTGTGCAAAGGCTATCCTTGTAAGATTTCCCTGTACTTATTTCCAAGTTCTAGGTTTCTTTTTTTAGTGCTGTGGGCATAATAAGCACGCCCAATCTAACACTCCTAGTCCAGCTTTTTTGGTAGCCTATCTTATCAATTTAGGTGGAAGTTTTTTATTCTGGACAGCACTACAAGTTTTTCTGTGAATCCTACCTCTGTTAGCCATTTAATAGCAACTGTAATTCAGAAGTGGTTAGGGAGCTGCCCTTGAGTGAAGAAAGGCTGCCTTGAGTCTCATATTTTTGGAGTAAAAACCATAGTGGATAATAGTTGTTAGAAAGATGGTATGCAGATTAGCTTGTATGAATTTAGAAGGGAAAGTTGCATGTTTAGATGGCTCCATAAGTGGATTGGAGTAAAAAGATGAAAATAGGACCCAGGATTAGCGTGAATAAATAATATCTTTACTTGAGCGGGGGTTGGGTGCAGAATTAGGTTCAGCTTTGGAAAAGATCCAGAGAGCCATGGCCAAAATAGTTAGATCCTCTTTTAGTGACAAGGAGCCAAAGGGGAACTCCAGGGAGGATTTTAATAGCTGGAATAGATTAATCCTGTCTCCAATACATCCATCTTAATTTTAATTTTAAAAGAATCAAAAGACAAAATGAATTTTCATCTTTTGGGCCTTTAGTGTGGTATCTGCAAACCTCGGTGTGCCATTGGGTAGCTGTCTTGATATTTGCCTGACATTTTTTTTTCTATTTTCATAACTAAAAAAAAGTTAAATGGGAAGATGTCTTGCTACAAAGCTAGCACAATTGAGAACTGCAAATATTTCCAATAATATTTCAGTAGTCTGTGTATATACCAGCAGTTTTTCTAAAATCCTTGGTATATACAAACTGGCATATGCCAGAACGGGGGGGGGGGGACGATAGGAAAAAAATTGTAGGGATCTGTAGCTTAGTTTGGGGATTCACTTGTTTACGAAAAAGGCAACCTTGGAGATGGTTAGAAAGACAATTGAGAGCAGGTCTCCCCAGTTTGTCGTTTAATATGAGCCATGCTGTGCAGTGAATGCAGTATTGCAGGCTAATTGCCGACTGCCAGCAGTTCAGCAGTTCGAATCTCACCAGGCTCAAGGTTGACTCAGCCTTCCATCCTTCCGAGGTCGGTAAAATGAGGACCCAGATTGTTGGGGGCAATAGGCTGACTCTCTGAATTTGCTTAGAGGGGGCTGTAAAAGCACTATGAAGCGGTATATAAGACTAAGTGCTATTGCTAAGCGCTATTAAAAATTGGTATTTTGTGACTGGCCACATCCATCACGGCAGTCATTTTGAGGAGTGTCTATAGTGGGCTTTGAGAATTCCAAATTTTTCCTGTGTCTCCAAATGTTTGGAGGCTCCTATTTTATCTAGATGACTAGGATGACCCCCTTCACTTCTCAAGATTAATGTGTGCACTGCAGACAGAAGGCTTTCATTGCCCTCTGAACTGGACTAGTGCTGTTGGGATCTATAGCATGAAAGTATATATAGGCAGGGTGGGGGTGGGGGAATAACAGTGCCCAGAGAGGAATAAAATTGTTCTTGCTAATTATTCCTTGTTGCCGTCTCTCATTTCTGCCCCAGCTGAGTTCTCTACATACCTCAACTTCTGCCGTTCACTGCGGTTTGATGACAAACCAGATTACTCTTATCTGAGGCAGCTGTTCCGCAATCTCTTCCACCGTCAGGGTTTCTCCTATGACTATGTATTTGACTGGAATATGCTCAAATTTGTGAGTAACCCAAATTTTTAAAGGGGGGTGGGTGGGGGTGATTGGTATTAGTAGAATTATTTCAATATCAGGGGGCTGCAGATCGATGGGGGAGGGGCTGAAGGCTAAGGAAGCCATTCTCTCTTTAATGCTGGATTACATTTTGGAGTCCCTGTAGTGCAAATTGGCCAGAATTTGCAACCTGGTTCCCTCCAATTTGTTGGACTTTGGTTCTTGTAATATCCAGTTAGTAGTTGGTGGGGGGAATGGGATGAAATCCTGTATTGTATTTATGGGGTTCTAAATTGAGCAGCTTTCCTTGTGAAATAAACTTTTCAGTGTACTGGTTATCGTGGCTTTTATAGTGCCTAAAAAGTAGCATCAAGACCTAAGTGCATAGGAATTCCCAAGACAGATCCAAGTCCTGTATATTTTCTCATTGGCACATAGCCACACAAGCCCTGTGGCAAGACAGACAAGTGGGAAGTGCCCACATTTTAATTCTTTCTAAGTAGGTAGTTAATACAGTAAAACAAATTTAATTTTCTATATTTTAAGATGTTAAGTTCCAAAGGTGCATCTATTTTCCAAGTGCCTTTATGTTTTACAACTACAATAATGGATCCGGATGTTTTACTTAATCTTCAGTCGGAATATTGCTTGGCTAGATTTCTTTTCCCTTAGGACAGCAGAACTGAAAGGATAAATACTCATGTACAGCAAAAGTTGAATGTGTAAGCAGAGAGCTTGATGGCTACAGACTTACACACACATACTTCTTGTCCCACTCAGAAGTGGAGGAACTTGGGAAAGTTTTGCGAAATAGACTCTGACTCAGTAGGGGAAATCAGGGAGTTTTGCTTCTCAGCTTTTCTCAGCTGCTGTTGCAGTTGCTCATGCTTGTGCATAAGGCAATTGATAACTCCCAGTGGTTATTAAAGCATCGTGGGCCATTAAATATTTCAGGGAGCAGCCCGGAATCCTGAGGATATGGACCGGGAGAGGCGAGAGCATGAACGAGAGGAAAGGATGGGGCAGCTCCGGGGTTCTGCTACGCGGGCACTGCCTCCTGGCCCTCCTGCTGGGGCCACTGCTAACCGCCTCCGCAATGTCGCTGAACCCATGGCCTCCACGCCTACTTCCCGCATCCAGCAGTCTGGTGAGTAGACAGAAAATGGCATGTAAGCCATGCTGATCTATTGCGCATTTCAGCACTTTCTTTTCATCCCAAATCTTGACTGGTCGACCCTATCTTCTGTTTCAGAAAATTTATCCCTCAAAAATAAGATGTAATTTTTTTTAAAGGAATCTCTTATTAAAGCCAATAAAGAGTACCGTATTTTTCAGAGTACAAGACACACCTTTTTCCTCAAAAAAGAGGCTGAAAATCTGGGTGTGTCTTATACACCGAACATAGTATTTTTTGCCTCCCAGAGCCACGCGCCCTTCACCAAAATGTCCGTGCATAGCCTTATGGAGGCTTTCAGAGAGCTCCTGGAGGCTAGGGAGAGCAGAAATGGCCAGTTTTTTGGTCCCCCGCCCCAGCAGCACTCTATAAGCCTCCATAAGGCTATGCATGCATTTTTTTTTACAAAAAACGGGCCCATTTTCATGAAAAAAAGGCCATTTTTTGCAACACTCCCCTAGGAGCAG